CTCTACAGAAATGTTGAAAAATCCGATCTCGCTTAATTTGGTTACTAATGACAATGTACAAGAATTATTGCGTTCACCAGCAGCGTCTACTACAAAAACATTAAAATCTATTGCAAAAAGCAACAATTCGACGAAAAAAACATTGGTAGTTGAAAAATTGAAAAGCACTAATAGCGTAATAGCACGTAAACTGTTTGCAACAAAAAAACTTGCGAATAATAGTAATGAAAAAACTAAGGAAACACTTACGAAGAAGGATTCGTCAGACTGGGATGTCGAGACTACGCCAACTGCTACTGACACGACATTGAAAGCAGATATAGCTAAAGAGGGCAGCATGATAAGCTCACTACTGCGTACAACAACGCTTTAAATTGTTTATTGAAAATCATACATATGCTTCAAAAATGCGTCTTTAATACTTCTTGCAATCTCTAAAAGAGGAGCATCATGTATTTACATATATGTATGGAAATAGCCCCAATAATAATCTACCCCTGTTTTTATATACGCCGTTTTCATGTTCAATAATTGTTATTATGCATACCCACATTACACATTACACATACAGACATACAATACAAGCATGTAGATTTCTCGATTTTATGTTGGAAAAAAAAAATCACAAACTAACAAAAAATATTGTGCAGTACTGCTTTTGTGTATTCCAAAGGATATACGCTAACTCAGACAACTTTCTTGGGAGATGATTTTAAGGGAATCTTCGTGCGTAGAATTCGAATATGAGAACTTATAGAAAATCGAACACAAAATTTTTTCCGTTAAACTGTGTACTAAACTTAAAATTTCATTAATTCAAGTTAATTGATGTTCTTCGAAAGTTTGTCATTTCGTTTTCTGCAAGAAATATCCCATCGAAACCACCCTTTCACGCCAAAGTTGAAAAAAGTTAGAGGTACATATTGGTTTTGTTGTTTCTACCTGTATATGAATGTATGTATGTTTTCGCAAACTTTATTCAGCTTCAGCAAAAAGGTTCGTTTTAAGTTTGTAATAAAAAATGGCAATCATTTCTTTACGCATGTAAATCTAATAGCTTTTTAATATGCATACGAATAAAAAATAATATCTTTAAAAGTTAATCATTTAATAAAAAAAGTACGATTGAAAACATAAGCCCAGCATAATCAAAATGGAGTCGGCTTTTAAGCTAGTATCAACTATTTTATCATATATGTATGTGCTATATGCGGCAAATTCAAAAAAGTTGTAACTACCTTAAAATCGACTTTACTTTGGATTGTGATCATGCAACTATACATATGTGTATTTTTTTTAATTTTAATTTAGAATTCTTTATTACCAATTACCTGCGAGCGATCGGATAAATTGCAAATATTTATTTTATAATACGGCAACAATTTATATTTACTATAATTTTGTTTTTATTTTTACTATAATAACTTTTTTGTTGTATTTAATGCACTTGTATCCATATACATATAATTTTAACTACAACGTGTATAATTCAATAAAAAAAAAATATATGAGTGAAAGTGCCAACAAAGCTTATTGGCTAAGGCTCTGGTGTCAGTTTGTCTAGATTTAATCTTTAAATTTTTGCATTATTTGTTGAAATTGCAAACTTTTGTACTGTTTTAATGCCGAAGGGAAGAAAATATAATAATCAAAAAATTAATTAGACAAACTACCATTTACACTTTCAAACAGCACATCAAATTTGGGAAAAAGTAATCATTTAGCCTATCACTTTATAATCTTGTATTCCACATACACGAGGAAATACGTACATTAAAAAATAAAAATAAATAAAATTGATAAACAGTTAAAACTGATTTCAATGTGTTACAAAAAGGGCTGCATAGAAATGTAAACTTTTTGAGTCTAGTGGCCACAATACAATCGAATCGCCAGCCTGACGTCGGCTAGCATAGCCAAATGGGAGAATAAAAGAAACTGTTAGATAGGAAACGTTAATTGCTTTAAATTAAAAGTATATGATTTATGATGAGCATTAATAGGAAAATGTGAAAAACGGTGGTTTTAGTGAAAGTGTTTGTAAATTTTAGTGCATTTAAAGTTATTTAGGCGTTTAAAACTGTCAAAATCGGCAAAACCGAAGTAGAGGTTTGCGGAATGCGCCACCTTCGCTACATCGTGATATAGAATAACAGCTTGCAAGGCGCATCTATACAAGGTGGTGTTACTAGAACAGCTGATTTGATATTTTTGTCTCTACACTAGTACAGCAGAATGTCATCCAAGACGAAATGGTGTAACTTTAGGATGCCAACGAAACGAAATGGCGAAAATTATCTCCTATTTTCTTTCGTTTTGACATCCTGATGTACCAAAAAGCAATAACAAAATACACGGGATTTTTACTTATGTATGTATATGCGATTGCTACCAAATTTCGGAGAGTAAGCCGATATTTACTCCCAATAAGAGAAATATGCAAGAAAGTACGGAAACGCAAAACCAGGTGATATGAACAGTTGATTCATTTCTTGTTTTCTGACGCAATTTTCTAAGAAAAATAGTACTTCCCATCTTATTATATATTTAAATAAGTTTATTTTGTCAGTTGCAACTGTAAAATCACCACAAGCAATTCCTTTGTTGATGTAAATTGCATTAAGTGTCATGCCATCAGCTGTTTTTCTACTGGCAAACAGTTACTATTAAAAAGTTATCCAGCAAAAATCCAGTCAAACTTGCAAATGAACGCTTCTAAAAAGCAAAATGGATGCAGATTAAATGAAAGGGTAAGTCATAGTCGAATTTATAATAGGTAAGCGTAAATCCTGGTAGTAGTTTTTCGAATGAAAATAGAAAGTTTTTGTAATTAATTCTTTATGCCTGGTATTATACAAGCAAAAAAAATATATATAGAAAAAAATAAACTGGAGCTTACATTTTAGTTAAGTGTGTATTCTAATTGGTGGTGTCGCATCTTGATGTCTCGCAAATTGAAAAGTCTACTGTTATACACCCCTCCTCCGAATGGCAGATGGTTTTTATGAAAAGCGCCGTTTTAATTCACTAGTCGAGTCGAAAATTTAGGCAATGACATGAACTTTTCGATACGATTCGACTTTCGAAAAACGCTTTGTATTCGACACGACTCCCGCAATATGGCTGATCAATGGACTAACAGGCTAGCCTAATATTCACGCACGCCGCCAATTTACTGTCTCAAGCACATCCGAAATTGGACGGCATGCGTATGAAGCTAACTCAATTTCCAATTTTCGTTCTGCGTGAAATTTTGATTTGACGTTGTACTCAATTAAGTCAAATGCAAACGCACTCAAGCCAATATCGGGTAGGTGACGCAAAAAAAAAAAGATATTCGATAGCGTGCGTACCAAAACGCAAGTCGCGAATAGTACCGGCCGTGTTCACATGCTTGAAAATCTCGCTCATTGTGTGCATTCTTCCACAATGATCTCGCTTTTTTCTCTCACAAGCGAGATAGAGTTTTGTCGGCTGAGCATTTCACAGCATACTTTTTTCATTTGTAAAATGTCGCCAAAAAAGAATGTTTGAGCTTTGCAGGCTGAATTTGTATTTTCCGTAGAATTCTGCGAAACGAGAAAATACCTGTCTAACAACAAAAATGATAGTTGAAAGCATGCGAGAACTCGCAAACCGCTTGGTATGCGATAAAAAGCATATTTCGTACATTGTGCGGTCTACACGTGCGGGATGTCGCATGCGTCGTCACGCAAGCGAGATTTTCCAGCGCATGAAAACGGTTGATGAGTTAACTAAATATTTTCACGCACGCACAGTGATTTTGGCCCTAATGCTTGAAATACAATACCGGCGAACGGCAAACTTCGCCGAATTGGGCGATGCTGTCGTTCACCGTTCGCCCAGCTATTTCGCCTACGTAAACAGAATTAGAGCGGTAGCGAAAACAGCTGATCCCATTTGGTCGCCTTTATAATTTGGGTGACCATATTTAGAAAAAATTAAACCATATTTAGAAATGAGGAAATGATAACAAATATAAATGTAAAACAAAGAAAGATTATTATAAATAATTTGTTTCAAGCCAGATTTAACGAATCCACAACTATATTTTTCAAACAACAAAAAAAAAATCGTGTTTAGGTTGTTTTCTTTTAAAACTTTGAAAGCAAAAAACAAATACGGCCACCTTTGGCACGCACAGCTGTCATCGCCCAGCAGGGCGATAGAAATAAATCTATCGCCATGAAACGCCGCCAAGCATGGATTTAGCTTACCATGCGTGCTTGCCTATCTTGCTGACTTCCCTACACTTCTTGCCTACGAGCTCGACACGCATGACTTTCCACCCAGGGTTATATGGGCTCTTACACGACGACGTTTCACTCTGCGTTTTCTGCACATTCCCTTTTAAAAAAAAGTCCTCTTAGTGCAAGAAAAGCCCTCAACAAACGTTTTTCCTACCCTAGTGCACTCAACGAACATACCATATACATATAGAATAAGGGCCAGTTTTACAGTGTAAGATTAGCCAGCTGTTCAATTAAGGGCCGGTTTCTCCATCTCTGGTTAACACTAACTCCCCGGTTAAACATTGTTATCGACGTTCTAACTCCATGCATATAACAGGGAGTCGATAAGGTCGGTAACGATGTTTACCGGGGGATTAGTGTTAACCGGAGATAGAGAAACCGGCCCTTAAACTGAGGTTGCGTAATCTGAAGTTTAAACTGCCACTGAAAACTCGGCCTAAATAACTACGGTGTGAACACGTTGTTATATTGCTTTTTGTGTGTAGTAATGAAGCTATGGATCCTTTTTTATATAATACATCTGAAGCAAGCGTCGCTATTTTACGTGATTACCTTGAATCACACGATAATTATATTCCCTTCTAAATTTCGTACATAAAATATGTACACATTTCGCTTTCCATACAATAATAAATGACACTGCATTTGAATGAGTGTTAAGGGCAGGGTTCTTAAATTGATTGCAAAATTTCGAACAACCTGGCAGCACCATACTCTAAATTATTCAATCGGCAGGGTTCTTCAAATATTCCATGCACCAGATTAACACCGGTTATTCTCGCAAGGGCGGTCATAAGTTAATAAAATTTCGTTATAAGATTAGGAGTTAATAATAGAAAAAAGTGGAAAATGAGTGCTTTACGTTCACATTTTGGGAAATTGTAAATATATATTTTTAATTTTGCTCATTTTGTGAATTGTGTCGACGTGAATGAAGCTATGAACGGTGACGAGTGAAACGTGTGCATAGCGTGAAAAGAGCGTTTTGAAAGGAAGAGAAAAGTGGAACACTGGCGTAGTTCTAGATGTACATTGCTTAAAAAATATACTAATTACAACAGCACACAGTTTTTATAACTTTCAATATAAGTTAAAAGTTGCTTATTTCAAAATATTAGGTGTGAATTTTGAGAGCGAGCGAGCGAACGAACGAACAAGCAGCGTGCGAAAGCGTTAAGAGAGAAGGTGACAAAATATGATTGTGTGTATTGTGTGTACAGTAAAAAATATAATACATATTTTATATGTATATGCATACATCGTATAAGATTGATTCTAATGGGTTGACTGGCATTTAAATTTATTGCATTAGTGCTTATACATATGTATATAAAATTTATAAATTTTGCTTTCCTCTCTTTTCAATAATGGCTAATTTTGGTTCTATTCCACTAGCTCACACAGCCCATATAAAGTAATTCTTTGCTAGGATTATTGTAAGAAATTCATCTGTAAATTATTGATTAGTCGATATTGCAATTTATGTAAGCTTTACACCTGTTTATTAAGAAATTGCATATAAAATTTTAGTTCTTTTATTAAATATTATTTAAATATAACCTGAATTTCGCTTCGGATTGTGACATATCTAGTCTGGAAAATTACTTAACTACTCGTTTCGAGATTCTGAGTTCTTTATTCCTGAATTGCTCCAAAGGCCACACGTTGTGATCGATCAATATGTTCATGATTTTGAATTTCTTACCTTTTTCAGAACAATTGGAGCCTTGTGATCAATTGTTAAGTATATGTATGCAAGAAATGTTTGCCTTCTTTAGTTTTAATTTGTAAGAATCCCGATAAAAAATCTATGTACCTATCTACCTAAAAAGGTACAAGCATCTGATCTAGATTTTTAATTGAAATTTTATTTGTTATAACATTTGGAACAAAGTTTTTTATTTCAAATGTAAAATGTAAAATTTGAAAGATGAGTAAATTAATCTCTTAATCTGGGAAACGAATCATTTTCAATGTTCTTTACTTATCTACATCTTCACCAGCTTGCATCTGTGTTAGACACTAAAACAACTATATTAGTAACAATACATTTTGTTCCTTTTTGCAACAGCAAAACGAATTATGGATTTTGTACAAGTAGCAGAAGAAGAGGGTGAAGAGCCCATAGAGCTTCCAGCTGAGGAGGATGGAACACTACTTCTTTCCACTTTGCAAGCTCAATTTCCTGGCTCATGCGGTTTAAAATATCGTAATGAAGACACGAAGGCGGTGCGTGGTGTACGCTCGAATGAAGGACGTTTGTACCCTCCATCTTCTGAAGATGGTTGGGGCTCAAGCGTATTTTTCTGTGTTTTTCCCAAAGGTTATTTATGATTTTTTGAGAAATACAAATTTATATTTAGTAATAATACCGTTACAGAAAACAAACGGAAGAGTGATGACAATTTGGAAAACTCCACCGCTAAAACTAAACGTATTGAAACTCGTTTACGTTGCACCGATCTTATAGTTCTGGGCTTACCCTGGAAAACTACAGAGGATAGTTTACGCGAATATTTTGAAAGCTATGGAGAGGTGTTAATGGCACAAGTCAAAAAGGATATGAAATCTGGTCAGTCGAAAGGTTTTGGTTTTGTACGATTTGGTTCGTATGAAGCTCAAATGCGTGTACTTTCATCCAGGCATTTGATTGATGGACGTTGGTGTGAGGTAAAAGTACCGAACTCAAAAGTAAGTCCGTTGTTTTATGTATTACTAAACTTTAAAATGTAACGGGTTTTTTTTTTTTTAAATAGGGTATGATGCATCAAGTGCCATGTAAAGTCTTCGTTGGTAGATGTACCGAGGATCTATCCGCTGACGACTTAAGAGATTATTTTTCGAAGTTTGGGGAAGTAACCGATGTTTTTATACCAAAACCTTTCCGTGCATTTAGTTTCGTAACGTTTTTGGATCCTGAAGTTGCGCAATCTTTGTGTGGGGAAGATCACATCATAAAAGGTAAGTGTTAAAAATTTTAACAAAGTCTAATAAATACATGTAGAGAAAATAAAGAAAAAGAGTATAACATCAAACTATCATTGCAATCTTTAAATTTTTAATATTAATTGTTTGAAAACGGTAGCATTATTTATGTAGCATGTTTCCACAATCAATATTTATTATGCTTACAGGTGTATCGGTTCATGTTTCAAATGCAGCACCCAAATCGGAGCAAAATCGAAATTCTGGTCATAACCAACAGAATTACGCCTACAATTCGCAAAGCAGCATTGGCAGCGGTCTTCATATGCTGCATCACCAAGGCATTAGCGCTAGCGGCAGTGGTGGTGGCGGCGGCGGCAGTAGCACAACTTCTGGTCGTAATGGCCACCAACGTTCTAGCAGCTCCACCAATATGTTGGGTGACGGTCCAATGGGCGGTGGTGGTTCTGGCAGCGGCTCTTATGGCATGAATGGTAACAGTTACGGCGGTAATAACAATGAATTCAACAGCGGAGGCAGTCTGGGTGGCAGTAGCGGATTGATTGGCAATTCTGGTAACCGGCAAGATGGATCCAACACTCCTTATAATCGTGGTAATGGAGGTAATTATATGAATAGTCGTTCAATGGGTCCTCAGCATAGTGGCAGTGGCAATATGGGTTGGAATAATCAAACAAATCGCGGGCATCTAGATATGCCCAATTTACAAGCACTAGGCATAAATCCTCAAGGGCCTAATCAACCAAATCAAGGTCAAAACATTAACAACCCGTTGGGGGTGGGTCTCAATTTGAACTCGTTGCCAATGAATCCTGCTATTGTGGCGGCTGCTTTGAATCAATGGAGTTTATTGGGCAACCAGTTGCAGAGCCAGTCGCAAGATCAACAGGTAAACATTGAGAACACTGATTGTGAAATTCACAATTTAAATAAAAATAAGGTATCAAATCAGGGAGGAAATTTTTTGTCTTGGATGGCCCAAGCAAGTAGCTCCGGAAATGGTGGAAGTTTAAATGCCGGAGTCAAAACCAACAATTCAAATAGTTCTAGTTCTAATGGAAATCCCGGCATGGGTTCAGGATCCTGTAATGACACACAACAGGTCCTAAAACAACTAAAAAGTTCACAATTTTAACTCATCTAAAATATGTTCTTCTCTTTCTAGAATGGCAGTACTAATACAGGCAGCCAAGGTTGGTCTCGTCAAAATTCTGGAGGGATACCACAAGGATCGGCTGATGGTAAACCGAAATTTATTTAAATTTACAAAACTTAGTAGAGCGACGTGTGTGTATGAATATTTTGACGCGATGTTTAAATTCTGACCGGTATTTCATTAAACATTAAAAGAAATATGTAATCGTAAAATGGTTAAAATTATGCTTAACAGTATCTTGATCTGAATAAAGTTTTAACCTATATTGTAGTGCAGAACTTTCGCATTTTTTGTTATAAAAAAAGATATTCAGCGAGCTTTGTTGCATTTCCTGAAGTATGACGGTATTAATTAGGAAATACACGTACGCACTCAACATGCTGGAGAAAAAACGGTTTACAATAAGTATGTACCTGCCTTTTGGGCAGTTATGTTTGTTTCTATTTTTGGAAATAGAAAAAAAAACTAAGCTAACTTGCCACAAACTTTCATGCTGGTAGCTAAAAAAAACTTGCCGATTTAGGAGCATTTGGCTTCCTAGTTTTATTTTCTGTTCCGGGTTTTTACGTGATGTGTATTGTTACTAAAAAAAAAATTTCGTATTATTCTACAAGCGTTTTGCTTTGAATTGCTGAACATTTTCCTAAAATATTCCTAGTAGAATCGAAGGTATAAATATTTAAACGGAAGGCTGTGGTTCGAAAAGTCCTGTACGTTTTCGCATTTCACTCGAAATCGTTGAGGTTCACGCGTATTTAATTTTCTTCGACCGCACCCTGTGTCTCATAGCAGAAATCACAACCATTCCGCTAGACACATGTTGACTTCAAGCGACAGCAACATGTCCCAGCGCAGTGGTTGCGGTCTCTGCTCCGCGCGAAAAACCGCGGCAATGGGATGTAAAATTTTTCGGAACTAGTGAATTAACACCGACGATTTCTTTAAATATATTTATTTATATATATTTTATTTTATTGCAACAATAATTTATAAATAAAAAATTGCATTACAAAAATACAGCAAAGAAATTACAATTGCTTTGTTTAACTACTGTTTTGAAAACAATTACATATATTTTTATCTACTGCCTTTTAAGAATAACAACGCTTTTTTGTATTTATGACGGAGAGTATGTTTTTTCCCCCTTTTTGGCTGAGGTAATAAATGTTTTGCAGTTACTGTATAAATTCCACATTTGCGTATCATGAAAATACTAGTTCCGTTAATTAGACGTTACGATGTTTGTACAAGAAAAGTGCAGCTTATTAAAATTTATAAAAAGTTTCGGCGTATGTATGTATGTATGTATGTATGCACCAGGAAAATTCTTAAGAAATGTAGTACGTGAAAGCTGTTGTTTTTATACAAATTAAGTTTGTGCGGATAGATTATGCCGTATTTGGGCTAATAAAAACAGTAGTACTTTAATTTAAAAAATATATATAATTAATATCAACTTTTTCCTTATATAATTTTGTTTAAGTTAAATGCAGATAGTTAATTTTAAACATTTAGAAATTCAAGTTTTAAGATACAGATTTTAGTTCTTTTAGACGGCATATTCTTCTAGACTCTAGAGCATAATATGAAAAAATTATCAAAGAAACAAGAGAATAGTTTTACAGATAGCATAGACATGAAATTGAAGTGAGGTTATACGTAGAAGTTATCAACGGCATCAAAATACACCGTGCGACTGTAAATTTTACACAAAAAAAAAATAATATATATATATGGGTAAATTATAGTAAAACGGCGTACTTAGTTTTTCTCTTTGACGTCAGAATTTTTTTAAAAGGAATTTGGAATTTAACAAATATGATTATTTCAAAAAATGATTTAAAAAATTCAGTGCAATGTAGGGTAACAACATATGTATCAATAAAATAAAAAAATCTCTAGAATTATGACAGAATAAATTTTTCGTGCATAAGGACGAATGGGTATGGGAAATGTCCTTTACACATTTTGTCCTGAAATATCCTTGAAAATTTACAATATTTTTTTTTTTTAATTATTGTTTAATAACCAACCAATTTTTAACTAATCATATGTATCTTCAAAATTTCAGAGTCCTTTGAAAAAAAAACCTGGCGTCAGAGTAAAAAACTAAAAACGCAGTTTTACTATATTTGACCCATTGCTTCGAGAGTATATCGATTCTTTCGTGTGTTTTGAAATACATTGTTTTTGTCCCACGATGTTATATGTTTGTTCTAGAATTCGAAAAATGAGATTCTTTGTCCATTCGTCTATGACTTTGTTCGAATATGCATAGGTACTTATTTTTTTTTTAATTTAGTTGATGAGTGTCATTAATTTATGAATATATAGTTTTTTCAATCCATTCGTCCATGCTGAATGTAGCCACATCTTTGTTTTCGGTGTCGCGCTCTTTGAATATATCTGCAATAAATTAAAAATATGTATATATGTATATTTTATTTGTGTGTAGATTAGACCGTACCGGAAAAAAGTTTGCCGCACATCCCTGAGTAAAGTATTGTTGCAAAGAAATTTCGGGATTTTTTTTATCGAACGTAGGGGTCCCCTTTTTACATTTTTTTTTGTTCTAAAGTTCTTTGACCTCAAGTAACCCGTTCTAGTACTTACCCACCAGACCTCAGTTCTTATCACCCTAACGTACCACCCAAATGCCAGTAAATTGAGCTGCGCCAAAATCATTAAACTTTTGCTGAGTAGATATCCAATATAACTATTTAAAATAAAATTATTTTTGGTGTCACCGAAAAATTTAAAAATTTACTCTTGGGTTCATGAAAAATTTTTGTTTCCAATTTGTCCTGCAAAAACACTTTAGACTGAGTGGTGTACGGCGAACTTTTTTTTTTTTGATTGTAAGATGATACGGTCCAGTTTATGTTGCAAACTGTTTTAGATCTACCCTGAAGTAATTCAATAACGGATAAAAGATATGCCGTTTTGATCGGAAAGTCATGCTGATTAAAATAACGAAATGTCCTATTTCTTTATTCTATTCTATTGTTTAATCATTTAAAAAATATTGGCAATTAACACAACGCTGCGAATACCACTTTTGATATGGCAGTTGGAAGTACTACGCTGCGACTAATCACTTTCGCGTTATCGATTGTTATTGTTTTCTTATCAAGTTTGATCAAACGCGGAGATGCATGGCGTATGAGTAACATTATTTCCTAAACATATAAATATCATACAAAAAAAAGTTTACAGATAATTAAAAAAATGTTCATTTTTTAATCTGGATAATTATACGATCAAAACGACAGTATTTATCCGTTATGAAACTATTTTTAGACAAGTGCCAGATTGACTGGTCTATTAAAATAAAACAACGAATACACACCAATATAAGTTCTAATTTTGACAGCACACATGAGAAAATCATCGAACGAAATTTTTCCATCACGTGATCCATAACGGTGTGCCAGTGCATTGAGTATGCGATTGTTGAGGTGGTAGCCAGCAGAGTTGAGTGCATCGCGCAATTTGAAACCATCAATGCGTCCGGTTTGTTCGGTGTCATAGAGCTTAAATACTGCTTTCCATTTTGCTATGTCGGTGAGTAGGGCTTCGAATTCTTCAAAACCTAATTTACCCGACTGATCAACATCCATCATGGCAACCATGGAACGGCAGACATCTTTGGAAAATCCAGTATTTTCCTCCAGAACAACTAAGGAATTAGATTTAAAAACTTAGCAAACTTTTAGTTAATATTCTTTTCATGTTTCCTATTTTATGCTTTTATATGTATGTAAACGAAATACCAATCAGCAGTTCCTTAAACTTGCAAATTACTGTTTGAGAAGTTGCTGCTGGATATTTTTCACTGGAGATCTGTTCGTACAGACTACTTTTTTTTAAGCCTTTCTTACCTGGTGGCATTCCTACATTGCCGGGCTTGACATGATTCATGTTAGCTGGATTTTGTTCACTGCCATCTGTAAACATACTTTCAAATGGTGTGCCTTTACAAAATGGACCGCAAATAAGTGCTAATATATTTAGGCCACCACCGTCGACTTCTGGCACCGCACTACCGCCAACATCTGCATTTTGTAAATTATAGTTGTAAGGCGTATAACTTGTGCTCTTTGGTAAATCTGTAAAAAATAGAATACGAAAATATTTAAGAAATTACATAGAATTATTATAGAGATTTTTCACATAAGCCTAATAAAATATTAGAATTATTTCTTTAAACCGACGATGCCCACGCCAGAGCTTATAATAGCCGGCCAGATCTTAACAACAGTAGGGACCGATTTTTTTCTTTTTGAATTTTACCAGCCGGACACATTAATGTCGTATGTTATATTCGACGAAAATCGTGATTGAAGGTTGGAATTTATTATTTTTTGACCGAACCAAGCGCCATTTCAATTTCCATTCATTACCATTTCATTCCACGGTAATCGATACCGAATGAAACGAAAATAGCCTTAAGAATTTCACTATATAATTTATAGTAAGACAGAGTAAATAAATCTATTTAACTTTGAAGACTGAGTTTATTGTATTTTTTGCATTGTTTAAACGGTCAATGGAGAGAAGAATTCGTCAGCATTGTAACAGTGTAATTTTCAAGTTTTTCGTGCAAGTAGTAAATATTTTATTATATATTGAAGCAAAGCATATTTTAATGTCAAGCCCGTCCCAAAATACACAAAAGGTTATTTATTGAAGGAAAACACATCTTGGACAGTGTAAAAAAAAGCTGACAAAAGTAACGCTATGACGCAGGCGAATATGTGCGAATTGCTTTTAAGTATTTATATGCTTTCATTTTTGAAAAAAATGGAACCGATTATGTTGGTCACGCCCGCCACAATTTAATGTTTAACAAATTTTAACAAATTCGGCCAGGGACTGCTACCGTTACTTATCTGCTAATCTGAAATGTGTCATATATCTGTTTGTGATCACCGATGATAAAACTAACCATGAAGATATGTTGCACGAGCGTTGGGAAAACTTAAGCTATGCTGTCGCGGATAAAAAGAAACCAGTACTTCACTTGTCAGGGCAAAAACAGTATCTCATACGGTTTGACAGGTAACAGCCTCATATTATTTAAAAAATAAGGTACTTTACAATGACTCATACATACAATGGAGATGAAGAGTCCGATCAAGGATTATCCCGTCTTTAGGTGGCAGAATCTTTTATGTGTTCGTAAAATCTGATCTTTTTAGAAATAAAGTTAATTATCTAATAATGCGCATTTGTGTATTCATGCTCAACTTGTCACACCCGTAACAGTTGAATTTGGAACATATAATCTATAATTTCCAATAGAGGTAAAAAACTTTGGCGTAAATGTTCAAAGTATTTATTTAACTATACAATGTACTATTTAAAACATAAGCAGAAGATGTAATTAGCAAAAAACTGTGATACAAGTAAGTATGTACATATGTAGTAGCTAATTTGGTTTGTGTACTCGTCACACCCGTTTGGATTAAATTGGTTATTAAATTTTTTCTGGGCATTGTGTACCTTGGAAACCTATTAAAAAATACTCGTTGTAAAGAATTTTATTTTAAAGTTTAAGAATTAAGCCTTAAAATGTGAGTTAAATGTCAAACCCTCAAGACAAAACATCGATATATCATTGCCGAAGATATGAAGCACAAATTACAAGAGGCGACCCTGACGTTCGGCAAAAAAAGTGTTTCGAAATTGTCTTGCAAAAATACTTTAGACTAAGGCGTGTACCCAGAAGTGATTTCAGAGTACATGTAAAAAAATAAGCAAAACTCGGCGAATTCTGTAAGGTTTTCCTTTACTAAACATTCTTTAAATAAAGCCAAATTATGGACTGTTACAACCAATTCATTTTTAATCAGAAGCCATTCGTTGACGATTTAATTTTGAATTAAAATCTGGTAAAGGAAGTGACAGATTTTTCCCCATACAATATTTTTACTAGTAACACATACTAAATTTAAATTTTTATTTAATTTTTTTTAGTTCTTCTCTCCACCGTTTCGCGTTTTCAAAACCCTTTTTTCCATCTGAATATGAAATTTGAAGTTATAGAGCCGTTCGAATTCATTTATTTGCATTTTCGGTTTACCTTCTTTGGGAAATGCCCATATGTCCATATAAACTTCGTGAGATCTCTAACTTTTTTCATTATATAATGAACTAAAAAAAATATTTGCGCGCCAAAGGATTCAGCCATCGAACGTTCTATTTTTTCTTTCTTACATATTTTGTATTAATACTGGTACACCAATTTTAGTACTTACCATCCTTCATTGAATGATCTAGTATTCGCTTCAGTTCCATCCAATCTACTTCCATGTCTGGACCGGCAATACTTTTGAACAGTTTTAAGAGGCTTTCATTATGCGTATCCATTGGTTTCGGATCGATCGGATTTGGAAAGTTTGGCAACACCTATAGTAAATAGGACAAACAGATATTTTAGAAATACGATACTTACAAATACGATTAATATAAATATGTATGTATGTATACATACGTATAAATAGCCGTCATCGATTCGCCAACAGTTAGCGAGTGGCGAAATGAACGAACTCAATAAGCCTGATTATGGCCACATAACTTAACTTAACGGAACGTAGAACTTAGAGAATCAAAAAGAAACAGATTTCGACGTGGCATTAAGTTACGTTAAGTTTCGGCTGTTCAATTATAAGCAACACCCATTTAACAGAATTTTTAAGAGAGAGCCGTAAGATACGTTAAGTTGCCATAATCAGATCAAATGTGGTACAACCAAACTCGCTGTCGTCCATCCCTGCTAGCTAACTTTGTTGTTGCTTTCACATGCAAAATTTTTCGTTCAGCGACCGGTACTCAAACATAGTGAAGTGGCGAATCGATGACGGCTTATATCGTCGTGTTAAGTGCGTAAACCGCGTATCAACAAAATGCAAAACCGCGTACCAGCAAAATGCAAAACCACGGATGTGAGGTTGCATAAATTATTTTTTAGAGAGTAAAAACACTCATATTTCGAATGGATAAGGATTGAACCAAGAGCTTATGTGAGCAAATCCAATTTTTGGCAGCCAATGTCCGTTACGCGGTTTTGCAGAACGACTATACGCGGTTTTGTACTTTAAACGACGATATGTATCTATACTACGTAACAAAAAACTGTAAGGACGCTTTTAATGGCATACAACAATCTGGCACAATTTTTAGGCGAACCCTGAAATAATTCCCTAACGGTCTATCCGTTATGGAAAGTTATGCTGATTAAAATAACGAGATGACCTATCTCTCAATTTGAAAGGAAACATATTTAATTAATAAAAAATAATTTGCAATTGGTTGATTGCTGCTAAAATCACAGACGTTTTTCGTTGATCGGATCGAGATGGAAGAAATGTCGATTTCTAAAGGAAGAAATTACAAAGGCCTGCGAAATACAAATCCCATGCGCGCGTTAGGAATCGGTTCAAAAGTTTGAAAGAATTTTTTTTTTTTTGCTATTTTGTGAAATGTTCGAACTGCCTTATATACCACTACCGAACAAGGCGGTATGTGTTTTATCCATTACGGAAATATTTCGACCTCAAATACCAGATTGACTGGTCTAATAGCTCTTAATTTAATAATAGAAAAAGGTTTTATAGAATTCCGTTATAAAATGCTTACACCTCAACATACATAACTAGTTCGAGATTATCGATGTTTTCAATTTAAAGGAAGTATGAATTGAGGTTTAGTGCTGAAAGAGTCCAGGTCGATATCAGGATAACGTTAAGCGTTATATTCTACACTGAGAGAAAAAACGCGTTGTAATATTAAGAAATATGTTATGGATTCACTGAGGCAAGAATTGAATATTTCCATACTAAATATTTAGTATTTACTAAAATTTGTATACTAAAATTTATTATGAGTTGGGTTGGTGCTCTTTCATATGCGTTTTTTGTTTAATTTAGCACGTTTCTTTTAATTCGAAATTTGTTTTTCTGTCAGTGTAGGTCTACTGCTCATACAAATGGTTTCAGAAGGTCAGGTTCCCTAAACCAAATTATTTCAAATAATTGACACAATAACCTAAGGCCAGTAGAGTACCAAACTTCACGGAAGTTTTGAATAATTCTGCAAAACTGCAAACGGTGTTTTTTTTCAATATTGCTATACTACCTGATACCACAGATAAGTACATAACCGTGTGCATGTTAACAGTTCACTAAACTTGCACTTATGCTTTAAAATTAGTATCAATAATTTTATTACCCACCTCTTTCCATTTAACTTCACCATGTTCGGAAATTTTTAATTGTTAAGATTTTTGATTAATAAATAGAATTATAATTGTTGTTTTTTGTTGTTTTTTTAATGCTTTTAAGTAAATATGTATTATGGATTGAAAAAGGAGTGCCAAATCCCCTACTAATGGAAAAATCTTCTTAGCACAGTCAACCTGGCATAGGTTTTGGGTGTATCCCGAAATAATTTCATAACGGTTAAATCATGTGTTATTTTGATCGGAAAGCTATGCTTAATAAAATAGCGGAATGTCCCAATTCTCAATCTTACAGCAAATATTTTTCATTAATTAAAAACTATTGGCAATTAATACATCGATGCTAATATCCCTGATGATTATCGTTCATCGAATCGAAATCAAGAGGGAAGACATATCCCGTGTAGAGAACAATTTTTCTGTATAATTGCATTCACTTTTCCTATTAAGTTAGATCAAACGTGGGGTTACTCGTTAATGGCGTATGAGTAACATTATACGATAAACAAGAACCAAACCGTTTGTGATATTAGCAGCAATGCGCTAATTCCCAATAGTTTATAATTTATTAAAAACACTTCCTGCCAAATTAAGAGATAGGACATTTCGTTATTTTAGTCAGTGTAATTTTCCGATCAAAGTGGCATTTAATTTATCCAATATCCAATATCGAACCCCAAGCGCCAGATTGAATGCTCTATGTACATATTTGCCTCAATACGGTTTTGCTGAAATTTCTAGCCATAATCATGGAAATTGAAATATGTGTGCAGTAACGTTTTGTTTGCTTAAATTATGTATCTGTCTACATATGTATGTATATGTATTAGACAGTAAAATATTAGTGTTGTTACTTTAAAAAATAGTCATTAAATTCATTTCCACACATGCATTTTTTAAATGTCTCCAATTTTTTGTAATTATAATGCCTAGTGGAAATTCGGCATAAGAAAGTATTGTAATTATTCTAGTAGAATTATTTATAATCAAAATTATTGCCGAATGTACATAGGTATCACCGAAAAATGTGAAAAGGCGACCCCTAGTTTCGCAAAAAAAAAAATTCGAAATTGCCTTGCAAAAATAATTTATTCTTACACTGAGGGAAATAATGCATAGTAAAAATGAATACTTTATATTTGATTATCGTTTAAAAATGTTCGTATTTAAAAATAATATTTTCATACAAAATTTATCACGCACGTATTTGACTGTTCACATCTGAGTATGAGTATGTAAGTGTACATATGCACCCTAACCATGCAGAGCGCCGCTCTGAGAGCGGTGACAACACACACATACATACATAGTACATACATGTTTATCCGTACAAATCGAGTGCTGTGGGGTTGTTGGATATTCAACATTTGAAAGCAAATTTATATGCCTGAAAACTGAGCTGCAGTGAGTTTCGATTAGCCCCATGAATGCGATTTGCCAATATTATATTGCGTTTAAATGCCATTAGGGGACATTAGGCGGCTCGACATGGACTAATACAAATTCATAGTGCCAAGTATTCCATTCCGAATGATTTGCTTTTGTCAGGCTTGTGCTCTGTAGGTCGACGTCTAAATCAGCTACCGAAACTAACCGTTAAATATCAAGATTTTTATTTTTAGATCATTGGTAAATCGGGTTTTTTTCATTTTTAATACTTATTATTATTTTATGACCGTTAAACAATTTATTATGTATGTCTCAAAATAACGGAAAAACTAAAAATCAAAAAGCACTATCGAAAATTGAGAAAAAAAAATTTTATCGGTAAAATAGAATTTTAGTGGTTAAATTGTGATTTTTATTATAAACAGCACAATCGTTACGGGTCCTGGGGCTGGGTTCTGTAACTGTGAGGAAATGCAGTGCAAACAGAGTGCAAAACTCACAACCAAAAACTTACCGAATAAAATGCTGTTTTTCGGAAGAGAAGTGTACACAATTTTGACAGTTAAAACTCATTCTCACACTTCCTGAATCGTAAAATGAAGAATGTAAACCATTTTCAGCGTACACTTGAAAACTCAGTTACAGAATCCAGCCCCCTGGTCTAAATACCTTCGTTGACTCATTTACCAGACCCATTGCAGCTTCATAGCTGGGAGCGTAGCTTATAAAATTAGAGCGAGGCAAAGTCTTACTTACAAAACCTGTCATTATTGAATGATGTAGTACTTTCAAATATATAGCTTCAAATTCGATTATCTCTGGTAATACTCACACAGTAAGACCATAAAGGTGATAGCCCACAACTTAATGTAAAGATTAAAAATTATTTTTATTTGTTTAGCCAGTGACAAGTAAGTAATTGCATTTTGAAAATAGATATTGCGGAAAATCACTTGCGCCATACTTCCGAAATGTGAAACAAATTTTGTGCGTACCCATCGAAAGCTGTGTGTGAATGGTGCTCAAATGTGGATAATAAAGATGCGCGATGTTTAGATGCCATATTAATTCTCAGTGAAACTTTAATAAGCGCACCCTAATTGTTTTTGAAACGGTCGATTAAAAATGGGTCGCGTATTAACATAATGTGCCCCCAGGAGCTCCAAAAACCATTAAGCAATCCGTCTTGCCGATAAGGAACGTCATATTTAATGTTTGAATGATAGAATCTGACTATTTGTCATTTCATGAAAATGCGATAAGACTTTTAGGCATACACCTAGGCAAATAACAAGCTTATATTGTAGATAATTAAATGGTTAAATATGTATGTATGTATGTATGTATGTATGAATATACCAAATATAAATGAATTTCTGATTTCCTAAGGACGCTTTCCCATTTCATTTAACGATTTCACATTTACTATGAACTAATCTCATTTCCAAATAACGGTTTCGTATTTGAATTTGGGCGCTTTCTCAATTACAACTGACTATTCTTGTTTTCAATTGAACTTTTGGCTATTATAATTAACTATTAACTCATTTACAACATCGGTGTTTTTCTAGCCATGATTATAACCGGTCAAATCTGTTATATTAGATTATATCTACATATGCATTTATTTAGTTTAATTTATAGTTTATGTATGTTATCTTGTGATCATGTTATTACTAGTAGAAAGTATGAGAGGAAGGGACTTTCATTGGAAGCAAAGAATGTAAATAATCTAACAGCTTAAATGACAGTTAATTGTTATTTTTCCTAGCTTATGGTGTACGCCGAGAAAAGCCACCCAGCCATCAGAGACAAGTGCGTTTTTCGTTCACTTTTCGTATCCGGAAACGTACAGAAACCGACTTAAATTTTCGTAGCCGAAAAAATTTAAGCGAAATGTTTTTCTAATTTTCTCCACTTCTCGAAATAGTCAATATAGCTATGCGCCAAATATAGTAACACTGCATTTTTAAGTTTTCTATCTGACGTCAGGACTTTGCAATTTAAGGGATATGATTAATACGATTATTATTTTTCACTTTATAAATATGCTGCTGTGCTAAAATTAGTACACAACAAAAATCGCCGTTTCACAATCATTTTCGGTACTTTTATGGACACACTTTTCGATTGCAAAATTTAGTAGGAACATGTATCATATTTAAAAACGATGGAATATGGAATCGGAAAACTGATAAAATATCAACAACTTTTTTTCATTTCCGATTACTTGGCTGGATGGGTTACTCTTCACCTAGTAAAAGCATAATTGTACGAATATCTGAGTATGAGTTGATCTGGTATGAGTATAAAATTCATAAATCCATAGATTGCTTTTTACTTTGGTAATGAATTCAGTGAAAATTCGTTTTGAATGCTTAAGTTGACGAATAAATAATAAAAAAAAAATCTAAAATAAGTCCTATTTAGCAATTTTGAAATTTTTTAATTGCCATTGAAAGTGTAAACAGGGCTTTCTCAAAGACGCCAATATATCTCGTATTTTTTAAGTTATGGCTAGACTAACATAATGTTAAAAAAAACAGCTCCGAAAAAGTCATATGTATAGGGCATATTGCATTGACGATGACGATATTTACATATTTATGTACACACTATGTATGTTTATGAAACGCAAATCTTAACCAATAAACTTAATGAAAACTACTAACCTTATCATCAGTCGGGCTTCCATATCCAACATGGTCGTCATTCTCTCTGGCATATTAGTAGTATTGGAAGGATCAAAAGGAAATAAGAGAAAAAAGTTTGGTAAAATAGGGTAGGCTAAATAGCAAAATTATATAAAATTGTGAAACTGCGGAATTATCTATGTGTTATGAATTATTTCTGTTTTTTATGAATTGGAGGATATTTAATATCATACTATGTAAATATGTATGTAAATAAAATTAAAAAATAATTATATACATACTCCATGTTATTCTTAGTTTCCGAGAAGACACGAATAACGAATTCACCTTCCTCATTCTGGTCAAATGTTGAGGGTACGATTAAGTAATGACCTGGCGGTAGTTTAAAGCGTGCACAGACCTAAAGAATCAAAGAGAGAAAATGTGGGACAAATATTTGTTAATGTATTTTTTTTTTTTAATGTGTGTTAGAAACCAGTGACGTGAACCGGTTTTGAACCGAAACTGCTTTTTTCTATTAATTAACTGAACCATTAAACGAAATGAAACTTTCCACAAATGTTTGATCTGAACCGAAAACCGAACCACTTTTCCTAGAGGTTTTAAGGTTCGTTTCAACCAATTTTCAATAGATAAATGTACCCACTATTTTGCTTTTTGTTAAATACGGTAATACCTACCATGTTTGTTTACCATGTGGCAATCAGCCGCATTACGAGAGTCGTGTCGAATTCAAATCGAATCGTATCGATAATTTCATGTTATTGCCTAAAATTTCGACAAACGGAAAAACTTGGCAGCACTGATTTATGCCGTTTACTTATTTCTGCACGACAGTAGACAATGCCAATGTTGTCGAATAGTACAATTTAGCCTAATTTACGACTTACGCAAGTAGACTGATTGGATTAGCGCAGAATGAGTAAGATCCAAATTACCTCCTAGCAACAAACATAGGGAGCACTGTTCGCAGCATTACTTCGAAGTTATAAAGAACTTTGTTTCCTTATCAGCCAGCATCTGTCAGTCAGAAATGGAACGAAGCATAATTCTGGCCCGCAGGTGTTTAGTTAAGATTAGCAGGGCCTTATAAACGAACACAAATGAACCATAACCAATTTCTAATCAAATATAAAGGCAACCCATCTCAGATGACCGTTGAACCGAACCGAAACTCCGGTTAAAATACCAAAAAACCGCTTGGACTAACCAACCCAAAAGTGCAAAAACGGTTCGAACCGCTGAACCGAACCGACCAAATTTTTCATCCGGTTCACGTCCCCTAAGATTGAATATGTTGAAAGAAATAATTATTTTGGAACGTAACAGTAACTACTGACGAGTGTAAAATAAAACTCAATAACAAACATTATGCGACAGTGCAAATATACCCGAAACATAATTTTTATTTATTTAAAAAACCTATATTTTCGTACTTGCCTAAATTTACCATTTGCCCGGATACCGGATATACAGTTACTATACGATATCCGGCCGGCCGAACAGTTTCTCAAAATTGTTTTAAGTGAGAGCGACATATTTTGACACAACTTTTTCTCCTTTATCCATACCTTTACCGATGATATTATGGGCTAAAACTGACAGATAGCCGATTTCGCAGGGCATGAACACGACTAAGACCTATTCTGATCCCAATCAACCGACAAACCGCTTTTTGATCCGATTTGACAATGTGTTTTCACTTATTTGACGACAAATGCCACTGAATTTGACACGGTGAAAACCAGCCTTATGTAGGTTTATATGTATGTATATTTACATCATTTCTAAGGTCTATAAATCCTCTTTCTAAAACATTTTGATTTTTCAAATATCATAAAAAATAGTCAATTAATATACATATCGACCCCTTTGTGCAAAATTATCATGTGTTATATTTTTTACGAGATTCACTTTTTGATGCAACTTTGTTTTACACTCCATAACGCATTACCCGTTCAAATATTACGGCTTAAAACCCAAAAGCTACCCCAAAAAATGAATTCTTTCTTGTAGGCGAAATTATCATATGTGATAAAAAAATTAGAAATGTTTTTCTTTTCTACAAAAAAAATCTTGCGCTGAGTTATATTTCTAATTATCTCCGCAAATCTAAACTTTAGCATTGGTGGTGCTAGCCAAAGAAAATTAAACATACAAAAACACTTTTCTGTAAAATTTGGTTTTTGTAACACATGATAATTTTGCGCAGAGTGATAAGTGTATGAAGTACGAACATAACGGTTAAAAAATTAGGGTTCAGGAACTATAAGAAACCTATTTGCATGTTGTATTCAAACCTACAACCTGCACTAAATTCAGTTTCGGGTGTATTCCTTTTTTTTCTGCCAGCACTGCCTAATCATAATTATTGATCCATGTAAGTATGTATAAAATAAAGATGAAATGCTAAGGGCAAATTGTTAATTTACATAAATTACTTAAGTAGTGATTGCAGTCGCTCATTTACGGTGCAACTTAAAAAGTACCCACCTCTCGTGTATTTATAAAGTGTGGCGAACGTCCGACGGATGCGCGGTATTTGAAGAAATTTAAGCCCTGTGGCCTAGTGTTTAAATCTTCTTCGGCCAAATGATAGATAGCAAAGCCGATTGTTAAACATTCCATGCCCATATTACGTTTTGAGCGGCGATTTTTTTGCATTAATGCCACAATAACCGTGCACTTGCCATCATCATCATCCTCATCAGGATCGGTCAACGTTATAACATACTGTGGATTACTCCAGAAAGTATCTAAGAAATTACGACATCCACCTGCCGTCATGCCTTGCGTCCATTCGCCCTCAAACATAGACATTTCCCATCTACGTTTGCCACTACTTTGCTGCTCTTCCGTAAGCGAGTCTGGCGATAAATTACAAATTTCAACACGATCGAAATTGTTTAGGAAATCTTGGAATGACATCCAAAATTCACCATCACGATCGAATGTCAAACCGATTTCTTGCTTCTGATCCTCAGGTATGTAACGCCATTCAGGTGAACTATCACTCCATGGGCCGTTCCATTCGGCCTCATTACCCCAAGGATTACGCATACGTATCATTGGTATCTTACCCTGTCGATTAGGTACAGAGATATCGATTAAGCAAACTTGCGTTATCGAATATGCATGGCCTCGAATTAGGCCTTGGGGTGTTTCGGCTTCCAAAACATTCGGATCAGGTTCCAATGAACAACCCATTAATGAGTTACGTTCAACCGCTTTATGGAGAATATTGAATAGATTTGGTGGTGCCTCTTTCAAATCGTACCATTCCGTTACACCGCCAGTGAAATCTTCCATACCCTCACAAGTGGTGCCACCTTTTAATGCTTCATATGAACCATGTAGTCTAAAAATGGAGCGAGAGTTAACACGAAATGATATCTGTTACTTTTTAAAGTAAATGCGACCTACTTGGCGTAGGCTTTCTCCAGCAAAGCACTCCAGAACTCATTTTTCTCAGTGGAATGCATGTACATCAATTCACCACGATATGTCGGCAGGCGATCATCGACCACTACATCAATCCATTTGCCGTATTGCCAGAAGCAAAAATGAAAGATGCCTGCATAATTTTCTTCAAAGTTCTGATCTGGAGGCACAACGCGAAAGAATAGATTTGGGTCCTGCGTCAAATTTGCAGTGGCTGCCAGTAACCAACAGTCGCCTAATTCGCCTTGTTGCACATCGAAACGTGAGTAGCCTTCCACAAAGAACTGTGGATCATTAGCGATCTCCTGTGGACCGAAATAAATTGGTTACAGTATTATTTTTTTTTAAATACTAGGGTGTGCATTAGGGTGGTCCAAAAATGCATGGACAAAAGTAAAGTCGGCATTTTAATGTCGGCACCCGCTAGAATTGTTCTATACCGAAAAAATATACCCCTATTTTTTATTTTGAAATCAAAAAAATATTTGGGGAGTGCTCAAAGTTTTCCATGTATTTTATATGGGGAAAAACAACTTTTCGTAGAAATGGTATAGAATTCTTAAAAATCAATATTTTTCGATGGGAAAGCTCAGTTTCTCTTCAGGAGATTCCCAATAATAACAACCAATTGTTTTTTAGACTAAATTGATTTTAAAATAAAGAATAGGGGTATATTTTTTTCGGTATAGAACAATCCTAGGGGGTGGCAGCATTAAAATTTCTACTTTACTGTTTTTGGATCACTTTATTGTGCATATGTACATATGTATGTATGTATATTATTAGCAAAGAAATAAAACGAGTGAATGGGTGAGAAAATACGTTTCCAATGATACCTCACAAGTCTAAATCGGAAGAGTTTAGGTTCAGTTATTCAAGTTTTTCTTATACCAATCTTTGAAAAAATTTAAAAAACAGCATCAAAAATCTCATTATTACGATTCCGTTCAATTTTTTTTTTTAGTTTTTTTAAAATATTTTCATACAAATTGTTTAAGCTTAAATCGTTTTGTCATTTGATAAGATTTTTTCAAAAAACATCTTTAAGAAACTATTTTTATTCATAAAAAACTCTATTTTTGGAGGTATTTTCAAATCTTAATATTTTTCCGAAATATTTTGGAGGACATCTTAAAATATAATAGATTTTATAACTCCAATGAACAGTACCGATTTTTTTTTTTTGTATGGGGAGTGATGCAGTCTAATGTATATACTATGTCGGGTTTTTTCTAATAAATTTTCGTGATACTCACATGGGGCCTTAACCATTCGATGTGTCGATCAGGTCGTTGCGAAAACATAAGCGATTCGTTGTTGGCTGGAAATAATGGATCTTCAAATAATGATCCATTCGTCAGACACATGCTTCGGATGGCCTCAAAATCTTGAATGTCTTCTTGAACTCGGGAACCACTGCCTCGTTCTCCAAGCTAAGTAAGAATATGTATGTATTTTCATAATAACATGTTATTCAACATTTTTCTCGGGAAAACGTTAACACTAACTTCTGAATAGTGGTTTGTCGCTAGCTAAAAGCGAAAATTTGCTAAGTCCACTTTTTATGCTACAAGTTTTTATTCAGTGAATTCCAAAGGAAGCACAGAAAATCGGATATATAATTGTAAATAATACAAACACATTTTTTCACAACATTTGACCTTGTGTTGATAAATTAGACTTAAACAATTTTTATTATAAGCTAGCGTAAAAAATAATTTCAAATAAGTATGTACTCAAATATTATTTGGGTGTGAATTTCGGCCATACACTCCCATTGATCTTGTGAAATCCCAAATTTATATTTTTTAGGCTATCCAAAATCAGAGGTCGAAATAACTTTTAGTGAGCGAGTTGATATGCTAAAAATATTCACCCAAAAATTTAACTAAAGGCTAACAATTTTTGCCTTTAAATTTAAATTTCTTTCAAAAATCACTAATATAAATAATTTAAAACCTAATTACTATATTAAAAATAGTTTTGAGCTAAGATTTCAAAAACCTTATACAAAGCTCAATAAAAATATTAAAAATTTGCGATATTATTTGTACATATGTATTTTCATTTTTAATTCTAATGTACAGTTGTACTAATAAACATTATTGGGACCTAGTGTAACATACGGCATGAGCACGATTGAGAGAATACAAAGGTTGCGCCGATCTCGGACCGCTATTCCTCTCATAATGAATTTGGCAGATTCGTTGTTTGCATGACGTCACACTGGTGCAACTTGTTTACGTTTTCCTTGCAACATTTTTTCTTCTTCTTCCATTCTTGCTCACGTTTTGTCATTTCTCTCTCGCAATTGCACCAGTGTGACGTCCCACAAAAGTTATTCTCAAAAATCCTCTCTGATCGGCGCAATCTTGCATTCTATCATTCTTGCGGCATGAGTAACCTTTTCCATGTTAAGCTTTGAATTCTTTTTCATTCACAATTCAAACTTAAAATGAGAATATCTTGGGTAAAGGACCTGGTCTAGAAAAGGGTATATATAGACACGTAAACTATGACCCAAAATTAATTGTACGTGTCGGTGTTTTTTTCGGCAGTTAACTATCAATGTTTGTAATGAAAACCAGTCCTGAATCCACGAATTCATGAAGTTTCGCAATTTCTACAGTTCAATGTGCATCTCTTTGGTCCATTTTTGGTATAGTCTTTTAAGTAATACTTCAGGACTGGCTGACGAAAATGTCATTTACATAGACGACGTCTATTCTGACTTCTGACAAGGCGGTAGTCATCAGACAAACAGTCAGGGCATAAGTGTAGAAAGACTTGGCGTCAGTTGGCCCAGAAGAGAAACGATTGGCGTGCTTTGGGACTCGGTCAAAATGGCTTAGGCAGTTACAGTGCCAATCAAAAAGCAGAACTGCTTTATATATGGGTCTAGAACTTATATGCCAAATTGAAATCAGTCCGCCCTCGAAATGGCTATTGATCTGACCAGTTTGCTATTCAAGCGAGCTCTATCAAATAACTATGACTACGGGCTATGAAAAAGAACAAACTTTCCCCTCCACTTAACAATATTAGTTTTTCTTAAAATTTTCGAACAATCATACTTTATAAATCAGCTGACCATCAAAGGTTCTCTTTCGAACCAGCGCATGTGGCTTCTTAATAGCTTCATTCGCTTTATTTTGACGCTTTACTTCACATTTTTCTTCCTGCTCCTTCTCACTGGCTACACTATCCGCATCAATCAAAGCTAGATTATTGTAAAGAGCTTCAAAGCTTAGATGTGGAGTTAAACAAGCTGTTTTCCGCAACGTATTTGCATTTTCAACAGCTCTTATATCCGTTTTAGTACAAAAATCGCTCTCCACTTCAAAAATGCATGAATCGGCTGCCAAAGTAGATGTGCGACTATAATCACTTTCTTTAGTCAACATTTTTATAATATATATCGCTTTTAACTGGCCACTTTTATGCAACTATTTAAATATTAATTTTTAATATAGTATGCAGTATGTAGGTATTTCTTTGGCAAAATTTTTTCACGCAATTTTACATGTCTACTAGAAGGAAGCTTTCGCTTGAATGAAATCTTTTCGAGCATACAAAACGCTATGTGGTACATTTGTCCTAGTTGCTTTCACTTTCATTTGATGGGCAATGGTTGGTCTAGACATGCTATGCTCTTTATTATTTAAATAATATCATGGATATTAAGGAGTGGTACGCGCACGAGTATTTAGGACAACTACATACGCACGTATGCTGTTGGGAATCATACGAAGCGCCAATGAAAGATAATTTATTTTTGTTCTAACTCAAATATGTCACGGAATAGTATTTAACGCATGGTTGTAGAGTAATAGTTAATAATTAAGGCCGGAATCTCTTATTGTTGGGGAAGAAATCGTATACCGTTGAGGTAGGCAAAGCGAACAGGTGTGTTGACACTATTCCAAGTTAAAGTGTTTTTCAGTTAAAATGTTTCTATTGGCACGCATGAAATTTCAGGAGTTTGCCGCAATTGGCAGTGAATAAAAGCACATCACGTGAATATACTTTGTTGCTGCCTCCTTCAACTAAGTATCATATAAGGGCACTCCTTAAACTTAACCCCAACGCTTTGTGTTATACATACATAAGTATATATCGTCCTTTAAAGTAAAAAACCGCGTATGTGAGGTTTAATAAATTAATTTCTAGAGAGTAAAAACACTCATATTTCAAAATGGTTCCCTTTTTTATAAAGCAATCGCATCTCTGGCTAGTATATTTCAGGACGAATGGATAAGGATTGAGCCAAGAGCTTGTGTGAGCAAATCCAATTTTTGGCAGCAAATGTCGGTTAAGCTATTTTGCAGAATGACGTTACCCGGTTTTGTACTTTAAACGACGATATGTATGTATGTACATAAATTCCTGTATGCACATGTACATAAATATCAACATAGCAAACATTTTTAAAATCAGTGATGTAGTGCTGATATTTATTTATTGCTGATGCGGTTGGACCGAAGTCAAAAGAGATTGTAGATGAGTTGGTTTAAGGGGCCAAGTATTTTCTTTGAATCCTTTAAACCCAAGCGGGATATAGGGCATCAATTACGCCTGCGCGCCATATGGTTTAATTTCTGGCAATCGCTTTGAGCACCTTCCAGCTTATCCCGAGTTGCTTCGCTTCTCGGACGGCTGTTCTTCTCCATGTTTCGTGCGGTCCGCCGGGGAGCCTGCCTCTGCCGATCAGTGGATTCCATTACAAGGCCATCTTTGCAATACTGTCTTTACACAAAGTCTGGCCTATCCAGTTCCATTTCTGTTTTCGAATCCAGATGTCAAGGGGCCTTTCTGAGAAACTACGGAGTATATTTCTGTGTATTTGAAAAGCCTAATCTTTAAGCTGGAGCTCCGATTGTTGTTTCGCCAAAAGGTGTACATCATACAAAAGGCCGCTTTGAATTCATTTATTCGGTGGCCAATGTCTTCGTCAGTGCCGCCACCGGAGGCAAGGAAAGTGAACCTCCCCACAGTCTAAACAGTTTTATCGCAGACTAAACGCTACGCGCATTGGGCGTTTTAGATGTACATACATACATACGTCGTCAGCCTAATCAAAGTGCTGCAGTGAACTGGACATGTGGATTTAATAACATCGGCGATTTTTTCGGAAAGACTTTTCGAAATCGACAAACATCAAATGCAGATCAGCTCTGAATTCAGCGCACTGCTTGATGGTGATACTTAATGTGTTCATATGGTCAGCGCCGAAACTCGAATTTATAATAAAAATTTAAAATAAAATAAATGAAAGGATGTTATGCACTCTTACCACGGCCATATTAAATGCACACATACATAGATATGTTTTTGTGCATATCATCATGGGACAATTGGTCTAATATATATAATTTGTATTATAACCAACACAGGCTCCCCAAACGAATCATACTGAATTAATTTAAGTAATTACATTAGCAAGTGAACAAATAGACAACACGGATAGTTAATTAACTTGACATTATATAAAATTGAGCAAATATTTTCAAAATATAATAGATTAATGGTGAAAGAAACTAAATCAGATTTGCAATTTTTTTCTTATATGATTCTGAGAGTGATAATTTATATTTTTACTAACCATTGAGAAATAACAGTGTTAAATTTGTAAAAATTATAAAAGATTACTGTGAAACTTACATTTGATGTCTTAGTGCGGTACGTGTGGATTTAAAAGAAGCCGCATAAAAAGTTGTAAAAGCAATTAATTAGATTTGAGTCAAAAATGTATGTATATAATGTGCATACATATAATTATACATACATATGTATCTACTTATAAATACATACATTAGGGTGTGAAAATTTTTTACTATATGGGTATTCTACGTAAAATTCTAAGCAAATTTTCCGAGGAGATCATGGATCAAAAATTAATTTCGAGCTTGCCGAATTGCGAAAATAGTTTTATTTTTCCTTAGCAAATTTTTATTTGGCTCTAGAGGAAGGAAGTGTTGGAAAATTTTATAAAAAAATGCTAGAGGGGGTTTTTCGGTATGAGGAATCAATTTTCGGACTTATTTTTTTCTAAGAACATCCGCCAGAGACGCAACTGTGAAAATTTTTCACATTTTCTTACGTTTTGCCAGAAAATAGCGTATTTTACATTTATTATGTCCATAACGTTTTAGGGCTCTGTCACACGGTCAGTAATTATCACGATATTTGGATCGCGATCCATATTGATGGATTGATGGATCGCGCACGAATGCTACATGTTCAATATTTATCGCGTCAGTATTTGCATAATTTTTGTGCTGAAAGCTTATTATGACGCAAGAAATTATTTTTATTTTGTACGTATAATTTACAGATATTGCATTCCACAAATATTTTAAAATTTCCAATGTTAATTAAAATTTGTTTTGAATGATTTTAAGCCCCGAGAGCGAAGGAAGAGCCGATATTCGCA